GGGGGGGGGCACCGTATGCACCGCACAGGCGGTCAGAAATGGGTGTCCGGATCACCGCTATCCGGTCGGGCCTGGCCACCATGGGCCGCCGTGCAGACAATCGGGCGGGTTGCGTCATGGTGCATGAACTGCAGGCGGAGGGTGGCCAGGCCACTTGGGTGGGCTCGGCCGCTCGGCCCATGTGCATGCTGCACGGGTGTTCCGAGCGGGGCGTTCTTATATGCGGCGGGCGCGGGTGTTCCGTCTGCTGGGCGTGGGCCCGCCGCCGCCCGCCGCCCCGCCCGTGTAGAGCCAGTCGCTGCGCACTGAGGCGACACGCCGGGCTCGACCGCACCCACCAGCGACACGTCCTTGGCTCAGTACCGGTTGTCCAATTGGTTTGTCCGAAGCGAAAACGCGACCATTATCGGAGGCATTATGCCCCGTCCGTCACCACTTCTCCGCCCCGCCCTCCTGGTGACCGCGGTGCGGCGTGCGCGCCCTACAGGTGGTATGGTGCATCCCAGGCGTGAATGACGCCGACCCCCCCTCTGCGATGTCGTTGAGACGCGCCCTGCTCGCTGTCAGCCACTCCCCTCGCCACCGCGAGACGCCGCCGCGGCGCTCCAGTTTCGAAAGGTGGTGGTGTCGGGCTTGACGCCTGTCAGGTTATAGTCCTCATCGTCCACTCGGGGCTGATAACGGAACCTCGATTCCGTTCCGGCTCAATCGTGTTTGCCCTGCCGTCTGATTCAGGAGAGCGTTTAAGAGGGGCTCTCCTATACCTACCCCATGAGTGCAACAAGGACGGAGCTATGCGGGAGGTATAGGAAAGTCCCCTTGGACGCTCTTCTGAATCAGACGACTGGCCATAGAGAAAACGAGCGCGGGGGGAAAAGAGCGAAAAGAAGGCTGCTCATTTCGCCGATGTGTGCGTGCGTTGAGCGCGAGGTGCATCATCATTGTCCGTCCACTGACTCCAGTCCCGTTCGCGTTCTTGCTCAGCCACTCTCTGCGCTCACACCTGCAGGTGCGTCAGCATCGACGCACGTGGCGGCTTCCTCACGACAGAGCAGCATAGACAGCTCCGATCAAAGTCAAGAAAATGTATCATCTGTCACGCCGGTGACAAAGTTGGACGTGTTGTGCGGTCCATAAGCAGGCGGGGGCGGGCGCCGCCACTGGCCGCGCGGGGATTTCCCGCCCCTTGCCCCAGTGGGCGCGGGAGCGGTGCGCAGATAGATATGCTTTGCTGGGTTTAATTGCTCGACGGATCCGCCTCACCGACCCGTGGGGAAGAGGGACGCTCTGCTGCGAGCCGCGGGCTGCCTGCGGCGGCGCGTTGGGGTCGGGGCGGTCCTCCTGCAGAGACGAGTGATGCCTTCCGGCCGCCTCCGGCCCCTCCGGCCGCGCCTCCCAGCACCGAGCACGTGTGTGTGCCGCGGACCGATAAAAATCCAAGCCGGCCGCCGGACTGGACTCGACCGACAGCGCGCGACGCGCGTCGCCGCCTCCGGCTATATTGTTTTGGTTGTTGTTGTTAGTGTTGTTGTTTTTGTTTTAGCTGTTGGTAAGTCTTGTTTTGTTTTCTTGGAAGGCGCAAGAAAAAAAACGCAAAATACGAGGGAGCGGCTGGCAGGGGGGGTCGCACACTCGAAAATAATGAAAAAACAGATAATAACACTGAGGCTAATTTGGAAAGCTCCAGATTATGTTAAGGCCCATGTTTAAAAAGCTCATTGTTTTGGAGAGTAAACATTTCCGTTCTCACGCAAAAAGTATAAACTTGCAAAGAATGCCCTAGTTTGCCCTAAGGCTCGGTTGTAGGCCGTACCCATCCTGACCGCATTGCAAAAAGTGCATTCATTTATTATGACATTCGGCCATAAATTACGACACTCCTTGCTTTACGAGAGGGCGGTACGACCACTCCCCTTCCAATTATGTGTGCACTGCAGCCTTTAATGATAGCACGAAATAATTATCGCATCGCACTAGGAAAACACTCCGGTATGGTGTTTACCTTACCTTTCAATCGAGACGGGCGATAATAACGGGCGAAAACTAATTGGAAACGTAAGATATCGTTTGCGCGGCGTGAGCATCACCCCATGATCCTGGTGCAGCGCGCGGTGCAGCCGCCGCCCCTCGTACGTCATCGCCTCAGTGACACGAGAACAAACGTATCGTCTCGTCCGGATGATTTGTGCGACGAGCCTGGCGGAGGAGCCGCTCTTAATAACCGGTCAGTCCTCCTCCTTACCTCCGCCGAGCGCCGCCTTTTGTCCGCTCACCACTGCTGATCTCTTATCTCGCGTGTTTATGCGGCGCTCCTCGGGAGGCCCCGGGTCCCGCCCCGCCCC